CTTTGCAAGAATGGAAGTAGTCATCACATACAGAGCATCAACTAGTTCCTGAACAGTGTCCTTCACATGCTGATATCCAAGAGAGGGAGTCACACAGTCACAAGATGGAGGAATAGAAAGCAGTATTCAATGTTTACTTCAGATTAGCTCCACGTCAGAAATGATCATGCTTGTCATATGTCTCTCTCCATAGAGGCTGAATCATCATGTTAATCACATAGCTATCATATGCCTCAAACAGTCCTGATGCTCTTCTAGGTAATCACACATCCTGTCATGTTCACAGCTACAGTTGGGATACCTTTGTTATCATGTGGACTCTGATATTGGAAGAGGACATTCAATATTTTCCCAACAACTACACTGTAGCTGCTGACTGCATATGACAATATCACCTTTGAACCCTTGAATCTTACCTCCCTCTGTGAGCAGTGACAGCCAGCAGCAGCAGCAGCAGAGATGAATGTGAACGCGGGCACGGTGGGCAGCGACCCGGTCATTCTGGCCACGGCTGGATACGACCACACCATCCGCTTCTGGCAGGCGCACAGCGGCATCTGCACCAGGACCGTCCAGCACCAGGACTCTGTATCCTTACCGTGACTGAGAGCAACAGTGTGCTTTTACTGTGACATGAGGGTGTTTGTGTACAGAATGCATATTACACAAACACATGTGGGTCATTCCATAACAAGTTTTATTATCTCGAATCGTATAGATCTACTGCAAATATTTGTAATTGTAATGTTTGTGTATTCTTGCCTTTATCGCTGGATTGGGTTGTAAGGCAAGTCAAGGCAAGGCAAGTTTATATTAAATTTATATAGCACCTTTCAACACAAGGCAATTCAAAGTGCTTTGGTACTAAACACCCAATAATGACATAGTGGATAATGGAGGAATGTGACATCATCATTTTGATATGATGATGTCACTCAGGATTGACTTCAAAATCACCCTCTTCACTCATCAGTGCATATATGGAAATGCTTCCTCCTACATCAAGGAATTGCTCACCCCACAAACCTCCATGAGGAACCTACGTTCAGTAAAGGCAAACCTCCTCATCCCACCAAGGACAAAACTGAAGGCCATGGGAGACCGAGCCTTCTGCTCCGAGACCGTGGAATGCCCTCCCAAACCACCTGAGGACACCACAGACTGTAGATGCTTTCAAAAAAGGCCTAAAAACACATCTTTTTAGGATAGCCTTTAACTAGATTTTTAAATTCCCCACATTAATCCATGCCGGCATGAATGTCACAGCTTTTATTATGTTGTGTTAATTGTTTTTTGTTGTTTCGTTTCACCCTTTTTAATTTTGTAGCACTTTGAGTTTTGTTTACGCAAATGAAAAGTGCGCTTATATTATTATATATATATATATAGAGTATACTTAATACAATCTATATTGACAAATCAATGCTGTCAATAAAGCATTTGTCTATTGCATTTCCAGAATTTGACTGTAGTACATTACATTACATGTTAGACGCTTTTATCCAAGGCAACTTACATACTCAATACTGTGGACAATCCCCACAGGAGCAATTTGGGGTGAAGTGTCTCAGGGACACACCGACATGCTGCCTGCAGTGGGACTCGAACTTGCTACCCCCTGATTCGAAGTCCAGCACACTAACCACTGAGCCACAGCCTCCCTCATAGTAACTCTCTGATTCTATTGTATAAAGACAGACTTGCTCAAGTTGGCTAACCAGATCAAGAGCTGTAAAATATTACACAAATTAAAAATCACCTTTTCTTAACGATTGCTCCCAGCAAGTAAATTACCTTGAGCTGACGCCTGACAAGAGTATGATTGCTGCAGCAGGTTGGTCCAAATGTTTCCCAAACTCTCTTTTGCATTATATAATTAAATGAATATCTCCTTTAATAAGTAAATTCCACTCTGTGTTAATAGGTTATCAGCACATCCGCATGTTCGACCTGAACTCCAACAACCCAAACCCTGTGATAAGCTACGACGGCGTGAGCAAGAATATCTCGTCTGTGGGTTTCCATGAGGACGGACGCTGGATGTACACGGGAGGAGAGGACTGCATGGCTCGCATATGGGACCTTAGGTATTGTAGAGGAAGCTCATTGTGCTAAAGGAAATTCACTCTGTGTTAAAAGACCCTTACTTTAATCCCTTATGCTCCCTCCAGGTCAAGAAATCTGCAGTGTCAGAGGATATTCCAGGTCAACGCTCCAATCAACTGTGTGTGCCTGCATCCCAACCAGGTGAGACTTAAACGACAGTCTAGGATATGCATTTGTTTATATATTATTGTAAGACAGTTAACAGTTTATGCTGAAAAGACTTGCATTAAACCATGAGTTGTTACATTTCTCAGGCAGAGCTGATTGTTGGCGATCAGAGTGGAGTGATTCATATCTGGGATCTGAAGACGGACCACAACGAGCAGCTGATTCCTGAGCCAGAGGTCGCCATTAACTCCGTTCACATCGACCCGGATGCCAGTTACATGGCAGCGATCAACAGCTCGGTCAGTACTCAAGCAGTCTGCAAATGGCGCTGTGTTTTGATACATTGGCATGTTATAATGATAGGCCACCTACAGTCCATCGCCCCTAGTTCTGGAAAGCAGACGGGAGTCCCGGCACAGAAGCCATCGAAAGAAAAAAAAGTCAATATCAGTATGAAATGTTTGCTATATTTGCTACATGTTTTCAGCACCTTACCTCAATCAAGCCTTTATATCCACCTACGCTGTCTTCAAAGAAAATAGAAAATATTCAAAATATAGCACTTCATTCTATTATTCTCATTTGTTTTGGTGGCTAAAGCATGTTTTACAGGATTCTTACGGTCATTAAAAAACCTGGAAAAGTCATCGAAATTCAAAATGCAAAAAAAAAAAAAGTTATGGAAAAACAATATTTTTCCCAAAGTTTTGGAAAAGTCATGGAAATTTAACTAAAGTTGCATCAAATATAATTTATATTTTATTTAATCGCTGAAATAGTAATACTATAATAAATACCGTATCGTATATTAATGAAACTTAAAATGGCATTTAACTGACGAGGCATTTCGCTGGTGAGAGATTTTTACAATCACGCCCTCTAGTCGACAGTGGCTTCAGTCTGTAGGAGCTAGTAAGCCTACTGTTTGATTTGTTTTAGATACGCACAACATGTTTCCTATGCAGACCTTATTTTCCAGTTTACCATGTTCAAATAAAAACGTTTCAGTGGTACCGCTGAGAGAGTCATGTTTTTGGTCATGGAAAACGAGGTAAAGGTCCTGGAGAGAAGTCATTGAAAATCATTGGTGAAAAAGTGTATGAACCTTGGTTTTGCTTTTGCCCCCTTGAAGTTCCTCGAGGTTACTGCATATTAAAGGTCTTCTTTTCTCTAACAGGGAAACTGTTATGTGTGGAACCTGTCTGGAGGGGCAGGAGACGAGGTGACCCAGCTCATCCCCAAAACCAAGATCCCGGCACACAAACGCTACGCCCTGCGCTGCAAGTTCAGCCCTGACTCCACGTGAGTGCCCTCCTCCTTACTTTACACACTGAACATCTTTCTCTGATTGTCCCTGCTGATCAAACACATATGTGTGTGTTTCTTTGAATCCCCTCCAGTCTGTTAGCCACCTGCTCCGCGGACCAGACCTGTAAGATCTGGAGGACGTCTAACTTCTCTCTGATGACGGAGCTGAGCATCAAGAGCAACAACCCCGGGGAGACGTCCCGAGGCTGGATGTGGGACTGCACCTTCTCCGGAGACTCCCAGTATATCCTCACTGGTCAGTACCTTTTTATATATATTAATCAGGAAAAGTCAAAAAAACTTGAGTAATGCCACTTTTGAAAGAACCATAGCCTTGTGAAAATCCGATCAGGACACTCCCGTAGTCCTGGAGCCATTTGCACTTTGATGACATCCCACACGTCTCCTCATTTCTATTCTCCCCTTGTCTTGCCACATTTGATCCAACACATCTTTAAACACTGTTTATATATATGTGTAATTATATATTACCTTCAATAGTGTTTTTATTTGTCAGTCAGTTTATAGATTTGTTATCTTCACGGTAGGGATGTCCCGATCACCTTTTTTTGCTCCCGATCCGATTCCGATCATTTGATTTTGACAATTTGCCGATACCGATTTTTCCCGATCCGATCTTTATGCAATGCATTAAGAGAAAAAAAAGCATTCAAGTTGTCCCTTAAGGTTATTTTTTTATTTAAATTGGATATTCTATCCAACATGGATATAGCTTCTTTCTTTCACAGCAGCATTGGATCAGTTCAGTTCTGCAGCATTGGATCAAAACAAAATAAAGCTTATCAGTACTCGTTAGCTTACTGCTACAATTAGACACTGCGCCCTGCCCACTCTGTTGCCAGATTTGAGAGAAATAAGCAACCAGGTCTATGAAAACAAGCCCCAAAGAAGCAACACATACATGATGTTGTGTAATTTGAAACCAAAACTAAGGCCTCAGGATGACTTTAAGACTTGAACATGGTCATTTTTGTTTTGTAACATTGAATTAAAAAAAAATTTTTAAAAATCCGATCCCCGATTTTTTTGTCCCGATTCCGATCTTTTGAAAATCACGTGATCGGCTCTGATCCCCGATCACGTGATCGGATCGGGACATCTCGAATAAAATATACTTCAAACTTTGTG